TCCCCCCCCCCCCCCCCCTCACTTTTACACCAAAGTGAAGAAGCGAAGGCAATGTGCCAGAGCAGAACTGATACCTTTAACAGTTTCTATCAATATCCCATGAGAGAAAATGGTGAGGGAAAAGAACAGAAAGCAAGCTACACTGGACACACTGAGATGCACAGAGACTTGAATCCATGCAGATTTCCTAAGATACTACATATCAGCCTCTGCTGTGAAAATGCAAGCAACACTAACCAACCCAGTCACAACAACAACCTTCTATTGCCAGCTTCATTTTCATCCTCTGATGATTGCTGGTTCTATCTCTAAACGCAGACATGGCAATCAAGGATGCAGTTTGAAAGGGTTAAACAGGTTTGTCAAGTACATCTAGCTTGTTATCCAATTTATATCGGGCTAGGATTACATGTAAGTGAGCATTTCATGTGCTGTTGTGATCACCTCCATACAAACGGAAATGTTTGTGCGTCAAGTAATCATCCGTGGAGAACAACAGGGTGAAAGGATGTGATACGGCTGGGCACACAGCTGACAAACCTCTCCCTTTTCTGGCAGTCTGTGGCATCAGTAATGTTTTTGGCCAAATTATTAAAAGATGAAATGAATTTCTCTAGCTGGAGGTGATGATTAGCTCAAAATCTGCCCTAACCTGTGGACCATCAGTCAAAACCAGAAACCCATCATCTGGGACTGAATTGATGCAAGTACAGTTTTGACTGATGGATAAATGTTGACATGGTTAAAAAAACACAATGCAACCACAAACAGCCTCAGTAAAAGGTAAAGAATTGTTGGAGGACACTTTGGACCTTTCTAAAGTGCAAGTGCAGAGTGCAAGTCGCGCTCTGGGTGCACTTGCTCATGAACTGTTGGGCATCTGATTAAAAACCTGCTGTGCAAGTCACAAGTCTCAGTATTTAGTCACGCACGTATCACTATGTCACACACTTTACAGACCCATACCCAACCACTGACATGAACATCCTCCATTCCTTACATGTAACTGATAGATGTAGAAAAATAGACATATCAGGACCCTCATACAAATACAAGGGGGCCAGGTGATGAGGTTGCAGTTCACGAGCTGGCTTGAGAGTCTGAGAGTGAGTAACATTACTCCAGTCCAACAAGTAGTGTTTGTCATAGGAAAATAAGCCCAAATGGAAAAGAGAGTACACACAATAATTTGATTAATCCACTTGCATAGTAACAACACTGGCATGTGTAGTGTTCTTGGTGAGACACAAGTCTTCCACAGTCCTGTCTCTGAGTGTGTGTGACACTGTGCTCATGGAAAACAAAGTGCACACACTCCAAGTAAACACAAAGGCATTGCAGATAATTAACGGAAGTACTTGGCAATCAAATATATACAAGATTCCTGAACGGAATCAAAATATAATTCCCTTTCACTAGGGTCCTTGGTTCAGGAAGACCCCCTCCCTTCTCCAGACACACACACCCTCACTCCTCCCTCCTCCTCTGTCTGGGATCATAAAGGGGAAAACCTTATCGCTGAGCATCTTAGTGTTGGTCTACACTGATTTACAGCTGCAGGCAAAAGTTGGCCTCAGCCCTGGGATCAGATTTCCACAACCACATCTTCAAATACAGAGAGTAAGCATCTGAGGAATTCTCTGACCTGGAGTCAGCGGCTTTCTGCCCTCTAACCTAATCTTGATCTTCAAATTCAAGTCAGATAAGCTGTTGCCGTCTTGGCTCCAACCCTCCTACAATATGTCAAAAAAAAGAGTCAAGAACAAAAGTGAAGCATATATGTTTAACGGAGTAGACTCTCTGAGGTCAAAATCCGGCACCGTCTGGAAGCTTTTTTTAAGTGGTCCTAATGAGAGAAAGATGGCCAAGACACAACCACCAGGCCACTGACTGACAAAATATGGCAAAAGCAGTCCCATAAGGAACACCCACCCATACAAGAGGTATACACATTAACACAGTCCAGAAGCTGCCCTGCTAAAGCTCTACCTCTGCCCTCGTTTCTCAGGTTATCGTCATCCCTCCACTTTACTCCAGAATGCCTTTGACTAACTGGACATTGGAACAGAACTTCTATTCAGAATCTCATGTTAACCTTACCCATTTTCATAAGACCTACAAAGAAAAGTGTTGAAAGTATCAAGACAACACCTCTTTTATCCCTTTCTAGTGATTTTGCCAAAACAGATCAATCCAAGTAAATAGGGAGGAGAAGAAGAGGGGGGGATGTGAGGCCTGTGACCTGAGGTCTCAGCATGATGACAGATGCAAGTGCACACAAATGCCAACTGTAAAAAACACTTGTATACACACATGCTTCAGAGATGCTGCCTGGGGAAAGGTTTTGTAAACAAAATTTAAACTCTACAAAAATAAAATAACAGTATAAAAATGCCTTTGCACATTTACACAAACAAAAATTAAATATCACTTATTTCCCAAAAAGAAAAAAAACACTATTATTGCACAAAATGAAAACCATCCTCTTAAGTATATCACCCAAAAAAACAAACAAACAAACAAAAAAAAACTGGGGCAGGGAGAATCAGGATGAGGTCAAATGACCCTACCAGGTCCCCAGTCCAACAAAACCAAACCAACGGAAACAGGAACAGACCTGAAACCAAGATGAGGAAAAAAAAATACTGACAGAAACATAATACTGACAAAAAAAAAAAAACTGTGAGAAAGAGTCATGCAGATATGGAAAGATAAAAAAAGTAGGAGGTTCCATGTTGTGGCAGCCCCAAATGAACACTGCTGTCTCTGGTCCTCTGTCTGCCTGTCCATCCTTCTGTGACACAAACCAAGAGCTGGGGGTTTGCAGCCAGAGAGGAATAGAGGGAGGAGAAGTGAGAGGAAGAGGAGTGGTTTCTATCTGCTCAGGCTAACCGGTAGGCTGTCCCTCTTTCTGCGTCGCCAAGTGTTACGTTGATACTGTGTGTGCGTGTGAGTGTGTCCGCGGTTTGCCAGAACAGGGTTGGTGACCAGTAATGGGTTGTGGAAGCCCTTCATATTGAACTTGGCTGTGTTCTGAAAAATGGAGGAGAGAAGAAAAGAGAGAGAGAGGAAAAAGTCTAAATAAAAGTTCTAATTTCTTTATTGATGCACCAAAAAGAAAATTATATTTGTTTTTATTAAAGCCCAGTAATTAACAGACTACATTTGGTTTGTTTAATCCATATAAAATAAAGCATAAAAACAAATTATAATATTGATCTTTTCATCAAAGTTTCACCAAGAATGCAAATAAGCACATTTCCCAAAATATTTAACTATTCCTTTAAGAAGCCTTTAGGCTCAACGAACTACAAACTGAACAACACAGGATCAGGTTCCTGTTCTTCTGGCACTTTAAATTGTTTCCCATAGCAACAGGTATGCACCAGATGTTGGAACATCAGGCCTCACAGCAGCAGTAATAGTGCTATCATTTACTGATCATTTATGGATTTCAGGTGGCAATTTCATTTTCCATGTAACTTATTACACTTATAGTCTGAAGAGCAAAGAGAGTGAGTCAGGAATGAGAGAAGCAAGTGTCAGAGAGACATCAGACACTTGACAGAGAATGGAGACAACTGAAGAGATACAAATGAGAGTGTGAAACTGTGTGTTTGCCCTACCTTGTGTGTGTGGCTGGAGTGGGGACTGGGCGGAGGCTGGGGGCTGGAGGGGGCGGGGGCATGAGCATGGGCTGGGGGGGGGCTGTGCAAGAAGGGGGGGGGCCCGGGGTGATGTCTATACACACCTGTCTGCCAGGTATGGAGTGCACTGCTAGACCACCGGGCAGTGAGACGTGAGCCTGCAGGGGGGAAGGGATGATTAATAGCAGGTTAGTGTAACAGTAGCTGTATTTCTTGTTTAATTAGATGCTGCAAGTCATGTTAAAAAGCACCCTTACTTTAAGAACCATTTGATCTGAAATTTTACATAGAGTTCTCCTAATACTACGTAATCCTGATTATTGTCTCATTTTCCACTTAAATTCCAAATGTTAATCAATACATAATTTTTCCTGTTCCATCCACATGTGATCAAAGCAAATGTGCCTACCTGTGAGCCTGGAGGCATGAGCAGATGGTGTCCTCCCATGCTGGGCTTGTTGGTACCCATGTTGAGAACTTGCGGCAAAGCTAGGCCCAGAGGTGGGAAAGACGTGTACGGAGGCAGGGTTGGTGGAGGGACAGGACACGGCAGCGATGAATCAGAGTCCTGGCACATCACACAAAGAAGACAACATTATGAGCGAGGCCGAGTGCTACTGCATGTTTATGTGCTTCCATCAGTTTGCTTAGAAAGAATAAAACTGGCTTTGCAGCACGTAGTTATATCAGTATTACACCATTATGTAGGGTTTCAATCCCATAATCACAAAAACGTGTCTTTGTACGTTGTCTGATCCAGACAGCGAGGAGACGGAGGAGGCTGACGAGTGCTGCTGGGGGCTGGAGATGGACATGGGGGAGTCTGCACTGTGGGGTGATACAGAGTCCCTCTGCTGCTCCTCTGACCCACCACCCAGCACACAGCGTTCCTGCTCTGATACCGGCTCCTTGGGAGGTGAAGCTTTATTAAAAAAAAAAAAAATTCAAGGTAAGAATCAGTCCTACACAATCAAGTGTCTTAGTAGCCTAAAATTCTAAAGTCAAATTTTTCAGTACGAGTCTTTGCCTCAGGATTCTGGGGCTATTCAATGAAAAGGTTATTTTACATTTGATGAAAAAGCAAAACGTTAAATGAAGTAGGCATTTCCTCATTTCCTTCTTATTAAAATAATCCTCCTTTGTCCAGAAGCTTTTATTCTTAGACACAAGACATTATCACTGAAAGGATGAATACTTTTCTCTAAATGACTGTAGGATTTTATCATCAAGTGTGAAGAATCATACCTCTGTTGTCTGTTCGTGCCAGATCCCTGCCCCCCCACTTCTTAATGATCCATTCCCTGTAGTTGATCACTTCTTGGGTCAACCTGATTATTCTGCCCAGTGTGCTGCGGGAGAGAAAAGGGTTTTCAAAGGGCACCAGTTGTGTCCAGGGTATCTTCAGTACTGCTGAATGGACTGAATACTCACCTTTCACAGTCTTTGTTGGGATATGACCGTGCAAGCGGTGACACAGCGTGACTTAGGACAGTGTAGGCATAATCAAACACCTGCTTGACATGCATGGCACCATAGGAACCTCTGCCCACATCATTACCTACATGGTGGTAACATAGTTGCTGTAGTTATGAGTGAAATTCAGCCCTATTTATTGTATCACAATTGTTTTATTTTTTCCTAAACTTGCCACTGATTGTGACATTATGGGCTACTATTAGGTGCTAATATGTAAATTGTTTTACCAACACAGAAATGAAACTATATGGCTACTGTATAAATAACAATCTGGCATCTAAATTCCAACATGTTCCAAACATTATTAAAGGTACACCTTAAAGCCACTATGTCTAATTTTTAAATAATTACAGCATCTGTAAAATCATTCTCATTGCCTACATATTTTTTGTAAATACCAACAAGAAAATCAGTCAAAGTATATAGCACCTTTCATACAGGTTGATGCAGTTCAAAGTGCTCTACAGATGATGGACAAGCTGATAAGAATAATGTGAACAGAGAAAACTAATGCACACAATGCAATTCATTCTGTGTACAAGTGCTGCCTGCCACTGCGTCATCCTTGATACCACCACTGGACGCCTTTCCCCTAATCAACACATCCATACTAGATCTGATTAACCTCTCTCTATTAACAGGTTATGTTCCACAGGCTTTTAAACTTGCAGTAATTAAACCTCTACTCAAAAAGCCTACTCTTGACCCAGGTGTCCTAGCTAATTATAGACCAATATCCAATCTCCCATTTATTTCCAAAATCCTTGAAAAAGCTGTTGCAAAGCAGTTATGTGACCACTTGCACAAGAATGATTTGTTTGAGGATTTTCAGCCAGGATTTAGAGTCCATCATAGTACAAAAACCGCATTGGTGAAAGTCACCAATGAAATGTCCACACAAGAAAGGTGTTCCATCAGGGGTTGGTTCGCACAAGTATATAAAGACAAACACACACGCACACACCACATGTCAGGAATCGGCGCGTTATGCTGCCAAAAATGTTGAGGGTGAACTCAATTAAAAGGCCAGACAAGGAAATGTAAAACAAAACCGTCTCTTTAATAAGAGAACTAACGCTAAACAAAACCATACAAGACACGGTGAAACACAAAAATCACAGGTCGGTATAAACAGTCCGAGATCAGAGCCAGCAAACACATACAACCTCACGATCACTGTTTTCACTCCTTTTATACAAGTTTTTCAATGAATTGTAGACACATCTGTGCTCTTCCTGACAGTAGAACTGTGGAAGCAAATGGATTCACAGAAGATGCACAGTGAGCTGCAGAGTGACATGAGTGCCAACTAACTGCCACATTGACTCCTATGTAAACAGTATTAGGCAGGTGGTCATAGTGTTATGCCTGATCGGTGTATATGCTCTTTAATAAGGTATTTGTATTTGGAGCCAGCAACTGCTTTGGTAGAAATATCACTGTAAACTAGTAAAGCACACCTGGAAGCAGTGGATCCTCTATGCAAAGCATGGATGGCCTGTATCCATTTGTCATGTCCTTCATGAGGTCCTCTTTGGCTAGGTATGCGCCTCCGTTTTTGATGCGAATGCCTGTTTTCAAGTAGTTGAAATGGCGGCCGTACAACTCAAAGAACTCGATTAGCAAGACCCCCAGGTTCTGGTTAGGGTTCCTGGCATCAATACGAGGATGGAGCTGAAGAAAAAAAGACAAGGAGACTTTATTGTTATGTATTTAAAACAAGTGGTATTGTGCACTAATCAACATCCTTTAGGGGGCATATGTATCCATGTGTATCTCTACCTGTAGGAAGCTGATGACCATGAGGATGAGGCTGTAAGAACTGATGCCCCCCGTGAAGACTTCGTTTAGATCTCTCTGCAGCAGAAACTGCTTCAGTACAAAGATCAGATAAGGCAGCACTGGATACTTCTGAAAGCAGACAGCAGAGATTAGCTGATTCAGTAAAACTGTGTTTTAAGTAGGAGGAGCATGGTTACAAACAGAATCTGGAAAAAAAAAAGTTGATGACAATTGTGAATTTTCCAAAGGCAGCATAATCTCCTGGCCGTATGTGTGTGCATATCTGTGCCAGTGAACCAGCAGGGCTGGTAGGACTTTACAAATATGCTTTTAAGAAGTGAGAACAAGATGGAGGGACGCTGCCTCAGAAACATGACAAATGAAATTTAACTTTAACGCACAAGAGTCTGTCACTCCCACACATAAACACCACCACCTCTCATTGGATTGATGCGCAGTGTGGTTGTCAAGAGTGACCTTTCAAGTTAAGACTCGTACTCGAAATATCAGCACCTGTAATTCCTCTCACGCATGAGCTAATGCAACTGTGACTAAAGTAGGCAGAAATTCACCATCAGCAGGTATTTGGTCTGAACCATGGGGTAGAATTCACCTCTGCTCAGCAGATTTTGCAGCATGCTTTTCAGCAACACACAGACTCAGTCTGAGTTAAACTGAGATTATACTGACCGCGGTTTCTGGGGTCCATTCCAGCTACACTCTGGAAATGAGATGAGCCGGTGCAAGTTTGGAAGTAAAGCTCAACTCTTTGAACTGCTGACTTGCCTGATTTACATTGGGAATTTCCAAAGTTCTGTATTTAGACCCAACATAAAATGGTAATTATGTGATTTTACTGGTGGTTTTTATTTAAATATGTCTCATGACCTTTTCTATTCTCCTCCTCAAACTCTATGTATTTCTTGTAACAAACATTGTGGCTGGATTTTATTGAGTCCGGGAAGACTTCAATTCACAGTCCTTATATAATTTTAAAATGCAGTGTTGGTACATTCAAATGATTGATGTGTGTCACATGTTGCCTCCTGGGCTGATTCAACAATAAAAATCTTGCCAAAATAAAATGCACCTGTAACCTGAGGGTCCTGACCACAATGTGTCCAAGGCAGAAGATTTCTCTCACCTTAACATAGTCTTTAATGAAGCTTGCTGCCTTGACTCCAGTCTCCACATTGAAACTGATGTCCACCTTCACCTCAGTCTCCTGATCTGTCAGCTTGATGATTGGCACCTGAAAGAAGATAGTAATATTTATTAGCGAACACTGCAGTCAAGTCAACATCTACAAAAATAAAATAAAATAAAATAAAAAACCCTGTCAGCCTTTTTGGACAAATAACAAAACCAGGAATTCAGCCATTAACTACTTATTATCATGTCCGAAACTTGCTGTGGTTTTCCTGGTTGTGTTCATGCCCCACATGACTGTGAATGTTACTGTTCCCACTACCACTGTGGGATTGCAGCTATAAACACTTGACCAGAGCAGGTGCACACATGGCACTGAGCTGCTGCAGAAAAATAAAACACAGTGAAGCTAAACAAGTCGAGTATCACTGACCTGGGCTGAACAGATAACAAATGTTCATTCTGGGTGAACTAGAGCTGGCAAAGTACTTCTGCACTCACATAAATAGCAATACGTATATTCACAGTGAATTAGAAAAAAAAAAAAGACTACACAGTCTACCACAAATGCAAAATATGCCACATATCATGCAAACAGATGGCGAACATTCATTGAGTCTCATGGAACAGTGGCAGCTCTTCTTTTTCTCTCATCTTTGCACTGAGATAAAAGAGTGACGGAGCCAAGGTTTTATACATCTAACTAACCATTTCAAGTCCAATGTAAACAGTGCTACCAAGTTTAGATTTGGCCAATTTCATTTACTGAGGCTGTAATATTTTATTACTTATGGTGAACAACAAAACAGTTCAGAAAACTGAAATTAACTGTCAAGCGAGTCTATTACACAAAGCATTGATCACAACATCAGAGCACATGGAACAGGCAATCACTATTTTATTTTAAATACTATATCTGTTGCATGTGGTGATATCTGTCGTTGCAAAGTCAGTTTGGCTTTAGGGCAGAGACACACCATGCTTACGTGAAAGAAATAATGGTGAGAAAGGCAGAGCAGTGCTTCGCCTCAGGTCCCCTTTGTCTAGCCTATTTGGGTTGAAAAAGTGGCAGCTGAACACACCACACAGACTACAACCAGTGGCCGACCAGCTTGTACGTTCTGAGACTACGTGTCAGAAATAGCTCCCCCTACAAGCAGATGGTGGTATCTGTATTCGCCACTCAGAAATGGAAAGAAGATGACCTAGACTGCGGAAATATAAGCTATAAACAAAGCACCTGTCATTCAAAACAGCTGCTGTGAACTGAGAATATGTCTAAGACGTTGCAAATAGCACTGCCTTTCTCTACCCTTGGTCATTTGGTTGTGGAAGAAGAAAGGTGGTTATAGAGGCCAAAAAAAATGGAGAAGACACACTAAATGGGTGGAATCAATACTACATTGACAGGGCTTTCCCTGAACTGTTCTCCTTTGGTCCATTGATTCGCTGAGCTTAACAGCCAATCAGAGTGGTCTTTCTCACTGACAAGGCCCAACTGACCAACATGGCTCGACGGTGGCTGATGGCCGACCGTCGGCTTGATGTGTTTCTGCCATTTTTTTTTTTAAAGGAGACAATATCAGCACAGCATGACACACAGCATCTCTGCAATGCCTAGAAGAGTGGAGAAACATGACCTGCATGCCACTACTTACTGTAGCCTTGTCCAGCACTTTGATGGAGAAAGGTTCTGCCACGTTCTGTTTGCGAAGGGCTTGTTCTAGCTCTTGCAACGGGGGGCGTTCCCACTTCCCAAAGACCACCAGGTCAATGTCACTGATGGCAAGAAGAAAAAAAAAAAAAAAACAAAGCTGAAAATCAGCACAGTACAGCCAGCAGAGTACAAGAAGCATGAATGATCATCAACTGTTTTCTTTAGTCACAGTTAACATAGCTTACCTTGTTGGAAGGTACAGCCCTGTGCTGAAGCTGCCAAATATTTGAACCTGTATAAACAAGGTGAAGTAATATGGATAACATAATCAAAATCAATGCTGTTCAAGTGTTAGATAAAGACAGCATATATATCTGCATATACCATAAACTTTCATAGAGATGCTGTTGAGCAAGCAGAGATCCCATATTGTACAACAGTTTACTTATGGTGATGGTGTACATATTCAAGGCAAATGTTTGCCAACTAAAAGGAACTGGGTATCTAGGGGTTCCACTTCAGAGACGGTAAATGCTGCCAAGTTCAGTAAGCTGCCAAATCAAGTATACAATGGCAAGAAAAATGCTTTGGGGTGGGGGGTGGGGGGCAAGCAAAAGCTTTCCAAAGGAAGCAGAGTGGAGTACTTTCCCTTTTCCGTCTGAGAAACACAACAAGGCAATAGAACAAAAACAGGCCAGAATTAATAGGTAGAAATGAAAAGGCAGGCTGGTACAAATCAGAGGCTTGATCCATTTACCTGACAATCTGGCTCATAGTGAACATGGGGAAGACTGACAGCCAACAAATCACTGCTGTGCATGTTTTACATAGTTAAGTAATGAGAAAGGCATTACATCACCCCATCTTGCTATACTACTCATCTGACCGCAATAGCCCCTCTCACTGTTTCTACACATAGAAAATGCATGTACTCCCAAATATAGATGGACAATAACATTTTTAAGACAACTTATAATTCTTTTACTTAATTACTTTCATTGCAGCTCTGCTACTTCAAAACCAATCTAAAGACCATTAAGATAACTAAAAACAAGAGTTAAAAGATAGGTTCAAGATTTTTTTTTTTTACGTAATGGGACTGTTTGCATTTTCCTAGTTTTTTGCATAAATTGGTCATGAAATGTGAGCTAATCTTCACCAAAGTTACAAATATCAACAAAAACAATATTTCTAAGCTGATAAAACACAAACAAACAGTCATTATCTTTCATGTCTTTATTGAACGCACCACCCATTAAACATACAAAGTGATGGTGGAAAAAGTAATGAAACACCAGGCTTCTGATGTCACTAAAGGTCAACTGGAGTAAGGTGTTAGCAAACCTGGAGTCTAGGGAATGAAACAAGAATGGAAGTGTGGTTTAGAACACAAACGGTGTCAGTGTGCTATTCACAAGCAGCATCAGCTGATATGAGACATGCCTTGCAAAAAACACATCTCAGAAGACCTATGATCAAGAGTTGGTGATTTGCATGTAGCTGGAAAGAGTTACAGAGTCATCTCAGAGACTTTAGACATTCATCAGCCCACAGTTGGACATACCGTCTATAATTTATAGCTTGGTACTGTGGCTACTCTCCACAGAAGTGCCCACCCAGCCAAGATCACTCTAATGGCACAATGCACAATGTTCACTGAGGTAAAAAGAACCCTAGAGTAACAGCTAAAGACTTAACAGATTCACTGGTGCTGGTTAACATCTCTGTTCATGAGTCAGCCAGACAAAAAATTATTGAATAGCAGGACACCACAGAGGAAGCCATTGCTCTCCAAAAACAACATTGCAGCATGCCTGACATTTACCAAAGACCACCTTGACACTCCACAACAATACTAGAGAAAACGTCCTGTGGGCAGATGAAACAAGGGTAGAATTGTTTGGGAAGAACACACAGCACTACGTATGGTGTAAAAATAAAACTGCATACCAACATGAAAACATCATGCCAACAGTGGAGTGAGCATCATGATTTGGGGCTGCTTTGCTGCCTCTGGACCTGGACTGTTTGCCATTGTGGAGGGGAGAATGAATTCCCCAGTTTATCAAGGAATCCTACAGGATAATGTCAGGGTGGCTGTCGGCAAGCTGAAGCTCTGAACAAGCTGGGTGATGCAGCAGGACATTGACCCTAAACATCTAAGTAAATCTACTACAGAATGGCTTTGAAGACACAACATCTGCCTTTTGGAGTGGCCTAGTCAGATCCCAGACCTCAGCCCAATAGGGATGCTGTGGAATGACTTCAAGAGAGCTGTTCACACCAGATATCCTATGGCTGAGCTGAGGCAGTTATGTGAGGAAGAATGGTCCAGACTTCCTCCTGAAGGTCGAAGGATGGGAGGAGGGCCAAGTATGTTACACACAAGGAATTTGTTTTCAGTACAGAACCGATGGCAGCCATCTGGCTCTGACCATCGAGGGTAGAGCACCCGCTCTACCCTCCGCACCGTCACCTCCCCATTGTGCAGGTCTAATCCACGGTTACAGGAAGCACTTGCTTGAGGATATTGCTGCCAAAGGTGGTTCAGCCAGTTATTAAAACACTGTTTCCATTACTTTTTCCACAATCACTTTATATTTTTAGTAGGTGTGTTCAATAAACATGACAGATCATGACTGTTTGTGTTTTATCAGCTTAGCAATTTTGTGTTTGTTGATATTTGTGCAATTGCAAACAGTCCCATTACTTTTGCTTGCTACTCTATGTGGACATCAATACTGTTTTAAGACCAACTTGAAAAATCCTTAACCTATTCTATAAGATACTTTGAAAGTTCTGACTCATCCACTTGAACACATGCAAAACAGTAGTTAGAGAATGCAAAAAAAATACAGTGCATTGCGAAAGTATTCGGCCCCCTTGAACTTTGCGACCTTTTGCCACATTTCAGGTTTCAAACATAAAGATATAAAACTGTAATTTTTTGTGAAGAATCAACAACAAGTGGGACACAATCATGAAGTGGAACGAAATTTATTGGATATTTCAAACGTTTTTAACAAATAAAAAACTGAAAAATTGGGCGTGCAAAATTATTCAGCCCCCTTAAGTTAATACGTTGTAGCGCCACCTTTTGCTGCGATTACAGCTATAAGTCGCTTGGGGTATGTCTCTATCAGTTTTGCACATCGAGAGACTGAAATTTTTGCCCATGCCTCCTTGCAAAACAGCTCGAGCTCAGTGAGGTTGGATGGAGAGCATTTGTGAACAGCAGTTTTCAGTTCTTTCCACAGATTCACGATTGGATTCAGGTCTGGACTTTGACATAGCCATTCTAACACCTGGATATGTTTATTTGTGAACCATTCCATTGTAGAATTTGCTTTATGTTTTGGATCATTGTCTTGTTGGAAGACAAATCTCCATCCCAGTCTCAGGTCTTCTGCAGACTCCATCAGGTTTCCTTCCAGAATGGTCCTGTATTTGGCTCCATCCATCTTCCCATCAATTTTAACCATCTTCCCTGCCCCTGCTGAAGAAAAGCAGCCCCAAACCATGATGCTGCCACCACCATGTTTGACAGTGGGGATGGTGTGTTCAGGGCGATGAGCTGTGTTGCTTTTACGCCAAACATAACGTTTTGCATTGTTGCCAAAAAGTTCGATTTTGGTTTCATCTGACCAGAGCACCTTCTTCCACATGTTTGGTGTGTCTCCCAGGTGGCTTGTGGCAAACTTTAAACGACACTTTTTATGGATATCTTTAAGAAATGGCTTTCTTCTTGCCACTCTTCCATAAAGGCCAGATTTGTGCAGTATACGACTGATTGTTGTCCTATGGACAGAGTCTCCCACCTCAGCTGTAGATCTCTGCAGTTCATCCAGAGTGATCATGGGCCTCTTGGCTGCATCTCTGATCAGTCTGCTCCTTGTATGAGCTGAAAGTTTAGAGGGACGGCCAGGTCTTGGTAGATTTGCAGTGGTCTGATACTCCTTCCATTTCAATATTATCGCTTGCACAGTGCTCCTTGGGATGTTTAAAGCTTGGGAAATCTTTTTGTATCCAAATCCGGCTTTAAACTTCTCCACAACAGTATCTCGGACCTGCCTGGTGTGTTCCTTGTTCTTCATGATGCTCTCTGCGCTTTAAACAGACCTCTGAGACTATCACAGTGCAGGTGCATTTATACGGAGACTTGATTACACACAGGTGGATTCTATTTATCATCATTAGTCATTTAGGTCAACATTGGATCATTCAGAGATCCTCACTGAACTTCTGGAGAGAGTTTGCTGCACTGAAAGTAAAGGGGCTGAATAATTTTGCACGCCCAATTATTCAGTTTTTTATTTGTTAAAAAAGTTTGAAATATCCAATAAATTTCGTTCCACTTCATGATTGTGTCCCACTTGTTGTTGATTCTTCACAAAAAATTACAGTTTTATATCTTTATGTTTGAAGCCTGAAATGTGGCAAAAGGTCGCAAAGTTCAAGGGGGGCGAATACTTTCGCAAGGCACTGTACATATATACAGCAGTTTATCTCCAACAAACACTGCATGAAATTTTAAAGAAAAATGATGTCAAAACATAGTTTCTTAATAATGATGCATGAGCAATTTAAGTTAACAGTTTGTCTGAGTGCCAATAGAGATTCCGCTGTATGGGCATTAAGCTGCCCTTTCTTTATTGCAGCTATGCTTATTTATACTGAACTAATAAAAAAGCTGGCATAATTCCGCCCGTGTTCTTTTTTTTTTTACACAGGTACTGGTGCCCCAGTATTGGAGGCAAGATGGTTAACATGACTTCCACTGTGATGAATACCACACACTGTGGAAATACAAAGCATACCGGTAGCGTTGTTGTTTTCAAATCAAACAACGGATGAACAGAGTAGGAACACACTTTTGCTTTGCATATTTACAACTTGATTTGGACTTTTAATGTTTGCAGTGTTTTCCATACAATGATTTATTTGTGGCGGGCCATCATAATATCAACACTGACTGCCACACTTTTGATTTTCTATTTTTTTATATTTTATACAGGCTAAATCGTCTATCAATGTAGCACATATTTGCTTAGTTACTCACTTGTTAATACAATAAGCAACGTCTGCCATTAACAACACAATGAGCATTTACGACACACAATCAAGGAAACATCTGAGTAAACAGAGTAGAAAGGTAGAAGAGTGATGTGCTAAAATCAAGTCTGGGAAGTTATCTCACCAACTTGCTCCACCACAGTCATGTCAGACAACTGCTAGCATTTAATTTAATTCTTTTACAAAGGGATATATTTGGATTTTTTTCCACTACATGCAACATATTAATGATCATAGTCTGTTGTGTTTCTTGTGAGAAATGTTAAAATTTAAATGCCTGGCAGTAGGTCACAGACACAGCACTTCATCAAAACTTCACACACCTCCAGCCACACCCTCCAATTCCTCTCCCAAAAGTGGACCTTCATGATCTAAGAGACTGCTCTCTAAGATATTAAAAATCTGAAATGGGGAAGGGGAACTGATCCAAATATTCAGTGTGAGTCTCACATCTGCAGTGGGCCATAGCTCCTTGATGATCATCTCTATCCGGCTGACCACCTCCTCCCTCATAGCTGCTTCCTCTGGCCGTGGAGACATGAAGCTGTAGAAGTCCATCACCTCCTCGTGGAGTCTGGATACAAAGAGTTAACAGATAAGCGGTTTTTCACACCACATTAACGCTAATGCTACACACAAGCTGGTATGATATCTGGTGTGAAAGAAGGAACTAATGTGAAAAATGCCCTTTGTTGTAAAGTATTTCATATTTTAAACAAGAATACAACTGAAAAAATGCATGAGAATACTTCCTAAATTTGAGATATGAATATAAGAAATTTGCCGTACACCTGGATATTATGGAGTTTGGTTTTTTTTTAGCATCTACTTTTCTTGGGAACTATGAAATTACCAAAACCCAAGATCCATAGCAATACACTGGATCAGTACTGGTGCTGGTTTGGTATTTGGTAAATGGATCGAATATCAACCACACACAGCCAATCCACATTAAATATTGTTTCTTAGAAACTATAAAGTCTGAAAACCTATAAAAAATATATTATTCTTGTGTAATTATTGCATTTTAAATTCCTTTAAATATTCCCTTTTTTGTTGAATGTTATTTTAGAATCACAATTGTCTGAAACACTGAACAGTATTTTTTCCAGTTAAAATCAAATACTGTGACAAATCGCACCCAAGATCTTCAAATCTTTTTAGTACCACAAACCGAGTCAAACCCTATTTCTCTAACCTAACCTTAATATTTGAGGCTGTGCTCCCACAGATATTTTCTGTGCATTAAAACAAGATTTTCCAGAGTGGGCCTGAAGAATCCCATGTCTTATTGTTATTGCTGACATGGTTCTCTGTTTGGCAGCAGAGGGACACATACAGTATAATGGAAAGATTTTAGACCAGTTGAATGCCTCCAAACAGTGGAACTCTGTTCAGCCCTGCAGCCATTCATTTTTCTAGGAATGCATGCTGTGATGTCAGTGTGAAATACAGAACGGGGAGACCGTCACAATCAATTACCAGAGGCCTGGAGGAAATGCAGTCAGTTCATGTACCCCAATATTTAGTGATAACTCTCTGCCAGTGAGGCAGCAGAGTCAGGACTGATCCATGCCAAGACCCTACTGCTGACAGAGGGCAGAGTTGGTTTTGGGGCACACATGGCCAAAAAAGCTTTGCTACTCCAGCCAAACTTGTTTCAAGTCCAATGTCTCTTTTCAACAACTTCAGTATTAAAGTAATCAAAGGTGTTCAATGGCCACAGTAACTTAATATGTAATGTGTTTTACTGCTGAGCACACAACCTTCTATTAACCTAATCTCTGTTCATCATAATATCAATGCTGCATAACAACACAATTATTTGTATTGTCAGTTGGAAGTGCAAAATCCCTCTGTGTGGATCTTCAGTGGGTGCCCCTGAAAGCAAACCACTGCAATACTAACAGAGTACAAGCTAACACTTGCAAATGAAAACCACAACTACTAGTACCCAGAGAAAACATGTTTTCATTCACTGTTTGTAGGACAAAACATTGATGACTTGAATGAACAACTTAAATTTCTAGTTAACTTGGGGTTAGGGGTACTGGGAGATTTAACATCAAGTATGTGGAACTACTTTCATGACAAACAGTGATTCATTTTACAAAGAAATTCCCAGGTGGGTGCAACCAGCCATCACAAATATCACAAGTTCCTGCAACACATTTGGAAGTTCCTAGGTCATTTGTTTTGTAAGACGCATCTGTCAGAGTAAACTGACTATGTGGCTACAGTTATAACATTAAAAAATAACTACAGTGACTCATCCATTCATTATCTATACTGTTTATTCCTGAATAGGGGCACAGGGGGGCTGGAGCCAATACCAGCTGACAGTGGGCAAGAGACAACAGGTCGCCAGTCTATCACAGGGCTGACACTTAAGACACAGACAACCACACACACTCCTACAGGCAATTTAGAGTCACAAATCAACCTAAGGTACAGGTCTTTGGACTGTGGGAGGAAGCTGGAGTACCCAGAGAGAACCCACACAGGCACAGGGAGACCATGAAAACTCTGCACAGAAAGGCCCCAGATGTGATGTGATTCGGACCTGGAGCCTTTAGCCTTCTTACTGTGAGGCGACAGCGCCAAGCACTGCGCTGCTGTGCTGCCTAACTACAGTTATAACATTAAAACAACAACAATAATATATTAAGATACAGGGCGGGGATCGTCCATTTAATGTTACCAACACATACTAAACATTCATAAATGCCAAACCTCAAAAAGCGAGAATAAAATAAATAGTTAGTCCAGATAAGCTATACTCAAACTATGAAAATCCTGTTGATAGGACACATGAAGTCCCACCCATCACCTACACACTGACGGACTTCCATAAAGAATACCCTGGAAAAAGAGTTATCCAGAAGTAAAAATAGTGGCGTAAAGATGATATGATATTTATCATTATATTGATAAACAGTTTTATTTCACTTTTATTCAGTGCAATGAAATGCAGTGGGAACTACTTACAATATCTAGATCCCTTTTTGAGACTCAAACGTTTACTATACCCTCACTTATTAAAACACGGGCAAGACTGAAGTATCTTACGTGTATTTTATGATCTACTTTCTAAGCTTACTTTTGTTTGATTGACGGGGAAAGCTCTTATTTCTGTAGCTGCTTGCTAAAATGTAGCTTTGGGGTAAACCGTTAGCTTGCTAACCTAAATTAGCAACAGACTACACCGAAAAGCAACATCAGAAAAGGCTTCTAGGTAAACTGCCCATTGAAAAAAAAAAACGCCAAAATAATAATCGTATACACTTTGTATGTTTCCTAATCGTACATCACATTTTGTTGGAAATGTGTTTCTAATCGTCACTGCCTAAAAAAAACAACAACATACAAACAAACAAACAAACAAACAGCATTTCCGGTCTTGTTTTGGACGTCCATCGCTGCCCTCTCGTAACAGTCTAACGCTAGCGACTAGCTAACAGACCGACTCCTGCACACTTAAGTGTGGGTGTACCCTGAGTTGGGTAACCAACACATTACCTTGCATAATGATTCACAAATATAGCTGGGCAGCAGCTAGCAACAGACAAACGTGAATGGTAGATTTAGAATCCTAAAGCACCGATTGTGTTCACTCACCCGAGAACCCCGGGGTTGTACTTCCTCGTCTTCCAGGGCGTCCAAGTACTCGCGTAATTGCCGTTAGTGCAGTTTGAAACCAAGTAATTCATCCCATAGGTGCTCGCCTTGTTGTCCCTTTTCCTTCGGCCTGGGTGGTGATTGTGTGTGTGATTCACAGGTAACGTTACACAGGGGTGAACTTGATCACGATTCACGCAAATCTGCTGTGAACTGAAAACCGGGTGCTCCTGTAGGTGACGGTGATGGTGGTGGTAAAGGTTGACATTATTGTCCGTGGTGTTGCTCAAGCTGAGGAGCATATTGGTACTCCCGACGTTTTTATTTATGTTGCTCGTTACATTTCCACCCATAGTCCTTCCTCCAAGGGAGCAGCTAGAAGGGGGACTGTCCGTCCCGGATTCCTGTGATGGGGATGAGGAAGAGACAGATCCCGATTTCTGGGGCAGAGATTTCCCCTCACCTGGTTGAGAAGCGTTTACCGTGGTGAAAGAGTTACGTACGTTCCCGCTGGAAAGCGCTGTTCCCATCGAGGAAATCGCAGTGCCGTTAAAACTACTAGTGCCGTTCATGATGCTGTGATGGCTATTACCGTTGTTCAGACCGGCAGTAACGTTGCCGTTACTGTTGCACACGCTCTTGCTCGATGCTGCCGCGGTCGCCACATTTTGTAAAACATCCAACGCTGCGTAATTTACAGACTGGCTGTGGTTTTGATTGTGGTGGTGCTGCTCCGCGGAGACCGTCCGTACTCCCTGAGAGGTCTTCCAGACGTGCATCCATAAGGTGTTAGCAGGTCCTTTCTGTTCGGGCTGAATCCAAGCTACCCTCGGATCCATTCAACTTCTCTCTCTGGTAACCCCCCCCACCCCCTGCAAGTATCTAACTAGCGCTAGCGAGCCCGTTGTGACGCTATCTGCCCGACTTCCTGGGCCGTTAAAAGGTCGCTACGCTGTCCGGGGTTACGAAAAGAGAAATATCTAAACAGAAAACCGAATTAGGACCATTGATAAAGTGGCCCCTTCACAACGCTAGCTGGAAAAAATGCTATCCTATTCCTGCGGGAATTCAATATGGCGTATTCTCTTCAAATCCGTGCGCATGCGCTCTATGAGGGGTTTCTTAAATGACTGCACCCCAGACCGCCCACTCCTTTATTACTCCGGCCAAATGATGAACTGCACAGAATAAATATTCGAATTTTGATAGATATTTAACTGAACAACGAATAAGGTACCCATAAAACGTCAATAATGAATACCAATGAGGTCTGTAGCTCTTGAAGTGGTGCCTTGGAAGTTAGAGGTCCTTGTATTTATTTCCGTCTCCTGGCCATCTCCACCAGTTGGGGGCATGGGTGGATGGGTTCATTGGGGTTCCCCCATCAGTTTGAGGCTGGATAGTGTCTGATTCCTGCAGAAACAACACTACTTTTTACATCCCAGCTTTAAGTATTGGCACATTTTTAATTAAAACTAGAAAAAAATCTAGTCATATCTAAATGCATACAAAATAGATTTTGGTGCCAGAAACAATCTGGAAAACTGTCTGTCTTGACTGACTGTCTCGACACACAGCTTCATGCACCTCTGTTCGGGAAAGCTCTTATGGGAAAAAAGGTTACTGCAACGTTTTAAAATCCTTGAAAAAGAGAACATAGAGCAAGTCTTTACATACAGACAGACTGTTGTTTCAACTGGCATATAAATACTGCAGGCACCATATAATCACAACCTCTGGCCATTAAAATGCTGTTCACATAACCTACATACAAACAGCAGAAAAGTCACACAGCAGTTCACAGATTAACGGATTTTTTTTAACAACGTAAATGGTGCTCTGTCTTTATCTGTTTATTACTTCATATGTACACTGTCCCCTGAATCCCACTTACAGTTTTCAATGATGTTATAATTAAGCTATAATAGTAAAAGTGCTTAGGTAACCTATGTGCTTGTGTAACTGATGAGGGCATTTGTTAATGATTTTTTTAAATTTAGAAATAATAGTCGGCCCAAAATGTTCAAGTCTTTCTCTTTGTTCCTGGCTCTATTTTATAAAAGACGCTGTCTGACATATGTAATGCTACCGTGCGCAGTATGCTGTCCGAACAGGGAATCATCCATGTGAATCAGCCTTTACTCAAGCCACTCGAAGCGCAAAACGGATCATTCACGTGATTCCGGGAAAATGATGCCTCGTTTGTCATTGGTGCGTGACAGTTAGGTAAAAATACAAACTTCGAAGCTTGGGTGACACATGTAACATCATTAGAAGCATGGAAGGAAATGCCCTAAAGCACTCTGTATAACACACCCAGGCATATACACAGCTGCTCCCTCCCACTGCACGCCTGTATTCTATGGCACTGTCTCACACACAGGCGTATGAGAGACACATCAGATTGAAAAGGTTACTTCTCTCATCTCAGTCTTTTTTCAAGCCAAACGCCACCCCTGACCGTGTGCCAGTGTGCATGTGATTTCAAGGCCGGCTTGCCTCAGCCTCATGGTCATCTTTTATGGGATTACCACATTAGTGACAACTGAACCACAGCTGACAGATGCCTAACACACACAGGGTCAGGGCTAAAGAGGTTAACAGTATAGGCATAATAGCAGATAATACTAAATAAGCAGCCAGTTGTCTGAGGCTGCATTTGGCTTGAATGCTAATAAGGCTGCAGAATTTACTGTATGTATACCGTACAGCAAATTCTGAGGAGCTAAATTTCTGGTGTTGGTGAATTTTTTAGCAAAAATAGTTAATCATACTCTGTACTCTGGATGTCAAATCTTTAATATTCAACTTGTCATGTAAATGCAAGCTCAGTCCCACACAGAGGGGGGCCCCAGCGGCATATGAATATCATATATATATATGTGCGACTAAGATCCTCTGAGCACAACTAAACTCACGCCAGGAACTTGCTGACCATAGTATACCCAGAAAAATCAAACGTGAGGAGCAATGATCCCTTAATGTCCTAGAAGCGGCTGCCCGCTGAACTTAGGTTAGTTACAAAACTGATTTTTTGAGATTCAAGAGTAATATGAAGCAGACTAATACACTGAAAACTATTTCAAAGCAGGTGTACTGCCTGAAACGGTCTTCAGTCGTCCAAAACGCTCCAACTCCTGACCAAGGCCAAGCTTAAGCCCTTCTCCTCACATGTGAATCCTCCATCTCCATGTGATGACGGACTCACGTAGATACTTCCTTCTTCCTCAAACGATCGACCATTAATCATTGGCTTCTCTAACCTTCCTGTGATTATGCTCACAAAAGATAACACCCAAAGACACTTCATTGTCCATCCATCCATCCATTCATTTTCCTCCGCTTATCCG